CTTTCCCTAGGGAAGGGATCACACTTCTATTTTTCCCTCCACTGTGACAAGACTGATTCTCATTGTCTTCAAAGAAAGACCTGCCCTTGAAGCTAGTAAATAAACTGGAGGACAGCTAAGCTTTACCTAGAAATTCATTCTGAATACAACACAACAACTGAGCGGTCATTTAAAATCATTAGTATGGCCACCTTCCCAGTGGAATTTATAAAGAATCCAAAGTGCTAAATTTTAGGATAGAAATTTAAAGCTGAGACCCCTTTCTTTTCATATAGTCCTCATAGAAGGTATGAAGTAATGGCTCTGGAGTGAGGGAGGCCTGGGGTTAAATCTTGGCTCTCCCACTTACTAGTTGTTTCCTCTAAGTTTACTTAACTTCTCATAGCCTCAGTTTCCTCTCCCGTAAATGGAACTAAAATCATCAACATCGTAGGGGTATTCGAATCCAAGCTGATGTTCCAGCCTTGTCCTTACAGGGAGTTCTCAGAACACGCAGAAGTTACTATCGATAAATAAGAAATCAGATGTAGATTCCACTCCCAAACATATTAAAGTCTATTTGAGATCAGAGAGAAAACAGCTATTCACTTTTTGGGAATAAATGCAAGGAAATGAGTGACGATATACAATAAAAATGGAAAATAAAGGAGTTCCAAAATGGCAAATATAGACCCTACGTGTCTCTAGAGTTGCTGGAATAGAAGGAGAGGTTTTGGTGGTCTGTTCAGCAGAGCCTATGAAAGGGTGAGGTCACACGAAGTGTCAGAAACATAGTTGAGTGTTTGGAGCACCACCACCCAAGGAGGGCTCCCGCCCAGGGATGCTCTGATCCCCGCGGGCCATCCCGGCCGGTCAGCAGCACTGATGCTCCCCCACAGCGGCAGTGCAGTTTGTGCTACATGGAGTGAACGAAGGGCGGTAGAGTGGTTCTTGCACTTGATAGGGAGACGTCATTTCCTTTGAATGCAAGAGGTCTCAAAAACCTAGTGTACTTTGATAGTAATAAAACCTTCTCCGTTAATCACTATGAAGCTGAATTAAAAACCATAACCCAGGTTCTAAAAATGGCTGTACTGCAACTACACTTTCTGAAGAGCATTCAGAGGTGCAATGATTACGTCAATATCTGGTAACCCTCACTAGGTCACCCTGTGTGGTCTCCTGGGCCTAGGACACCAAGAACTAGGTGGTCTTTGGCAGGTAAAGCATAAAGGGAGGCAAGTACACCTGGGTCCTGACCTCCATCCTGCATCCTGGCTGTGGAATCATTTCCACATTAAATCTAGGATATTAAACTATCCTTAGCACCAAAACCTAAGACTCCAATTAATAAGATCCTAAGTTGCTTCTTCCCAGAGTGAAATTCAAAGTGCTCAGGTGAAAGTTTCTAATTAAGGATCCTTTCATCAACACCTTGGGTCATACCTATAAATGAATTTTTAGTGAATGACCAGTAAGTGGTACCTACCATAAAACAGATGAGACTGTGAAAAGAAAAGCATGATCTCTACGAAGAGGCTTATACATAGTCTTCAAGATACTGTACTAGGGGGAACATTAATTATAACTACGAAGAGAAATGTGAACAGTCCCACGATAAACTCTGCTTTTTCAGTCCATTTCTGTTCCTGTTCATGAGCATTGTACAGGTTTTCCTTATCTTGTTTCCCATTCTTGTCTTAACCAACCTCAGCACTTTGTTTGAAACAAAATCCAGCCTCCACTGTTGTTTTTACTGAAGGTTTCATAAAATCAACCAGTCTATGTATATTCCTAGGTTGTAGAACTTTTCAGATTAATACAGTATTGGTGCACTGTCCCATAAGGGATGGAGGAAGAAACACTGAGTATTTAGTATTTGCCAAATCTTTTCAAAATATGTGGTAGACAGCAGTAGTAACATGCGTAGTCTTCTTGCCATTATTATGTAGAAAGAAACAATTTTATCGCTTTGCCAGATTACTCAGATTCGAAAGACTTGGTTAGGGAAATAAATTTCTTTTTTTAACTCTAATAATAGCATGAAAAACTGGGTATAATTATTCAATAAGACCGTCAATTAGGAGTTGCTCAGACTTCCTGGGTCTCTCCCATGTATACATGGTATTAAATTTTGTGTGGTTTTTCTCTTGTTAAAGAAAAGAAAAAGACCTTCAATTAATAGCTACTTCCAAAAATCGCTTTATAGTATAGTGTGTGGGTTAATAAACTTTTAGCGAGTCAAAGTACGGCATGAAAAGAAAAAAAATATTAGGGAATTAAGAGAATTGTATTCAAATTTATATTCAGTTTTGGTTTCCTTTTTTTTGTTTGTTTCATTGGCACTTTATTAAGTGGTAGAAATTTACAGCAGCATTTTGACATCAGTCCTTCCAAATTAGGTGTGAGAAGACCTGAGGATGGATGTTTAGTACTAGGCCCATTATGTCAATAAATTAAGGGCAAAGTCAAGATGAAAAATAAAAACCTATGTCCATTCACTCACCCAACGTGTATTTATGGAAACCTGACTGTGTGTAGAGCTCTCAGTGAAGTGCAACAGGTAATAAAAAATAGGAAGACAAAGCTCCTTCTCAAGGCGCTGGTAAGAAATTGTCAGAATAAATCAGGTAAGAACGTTGGCTGATCAGTGTGAACAGGATGTCTTCGTAAGAGAGACAAACCTGACGCCACATTCATACTTTGAATGAGGATTGTAGGAATGTACACGGTACCCTCTGAAGAGTGGGATGATGGAGGCCTTTCAGCTGTCTATGCTTTTTTATGGTTTGGATTTTTTACAAGCATGTGTTATTTTTGTAATCAAGGAAAAAAAAGTCAAAATTGAAATATTTCTATGAATCAACACGGCAAGTAAACAAGTGAAGATACAATATCTGTGGCCTTAGGTTGTTGGTGCCTTATGGGTGGATTTCTGTCTGTTTTAAAGTTATTTTGTTGTTCTAAAAGACTTTTTTAATGCCAGGTTTAATTCAACAATAAAAGAAGAGTATGAAAAGTGTAAGTTCTCTGGTTTGAATAATCTGCTTTATTATGCATTAGGGGCAGAAGAGCCCTCATTGCCATTTTTATTTCTAGCTAAAGAGGAGGGCTGTGAAGATGATTAAGGGATGTTTTCTATTTCTGTTTCTAATATACTTTTTCAAACTACTGTACGATGTCCAGTCTAGATTGAAACTGGTAGCATAAAACCCGTATCAGTCTACTTGTAATGATATATTTCCTTATCATCTATGATTAGGGTAACTCTTCTGTCACTAAAATGGAACACAGTCATTTATGATTCCCTAATTTCCAAACACTTTCATATTGTTAATATACTGCCCTGGAAAAAAAAGAAAATCAAAACAATCCCTGGCTACATTTCAGCATGTTTAAAAGCTTCAGCATGAAAAGCATCAGCAGCCTTGCCCTTCGTGTTTCCAGACGTCCCAGCCACATACATATTAAATCCAAACGGGACCCGTCTTCACTTCAGCAAGTCCTAGTTACATCATTGACTCGTTGTCAAATTCTGTAATCTTGTTTTTAGTGTCGCTTCAGGCTGAATCATTCTTTTCAGAAATGGCACAGATTGTGATATCTCTGTAGCTTACTTAATACAACTCAACTGTCACTTTAAGTGAAAAAACTCTGTTGGAGAATGAGAAGTTTTCTGTTAATGGAGGCTCATGTCCTTCTGGCCGTGAACAAAGGCTGCCTGGTACTTGCTAACTCCATTTAAAAATCGTATTATTTTGCAGAGTTAATTGTGGGATTCCAAGTACCCTCTAAGTGCTATTGAATTCATTTACTCATTTTGCACGGTGGGGGGACCAGGGGTTGGGGGGCAGCGCTCTGTGTGTCAGTCCACAGCCAGACAACACGGCAACCCCGGGCGGGGAGAGACATCCCGAGCAGTGATTCTGGTGTAACTGAGGCCTGATCTGAAATTTCATTTTCATGGCAGTTGTATTTATATTTTCAAATTCATTTACATTCTTTCTGAAAGTCACATCTAAATACTTTTGTTACCTAAAATTAAGTTTATCAGAGTCCGAAGTAAGGGCATTTTATTTTTTTTAAAAAAAAAATATTTATTTATTTATTTATTTTTGCTGTATGCCAGGTCTTAGCTGCGGCACGCAGGATCTTTTTTTTTTTTGGTTGCATTATGTGGGATCTAGTTCCCTGACCAGGGATCGAACCTGGGCCCTCTGTGTTGGGAGCGCAGAGTCTTATCAACTGGACCACCAGGGAAGTCCCGAGGACATTTTAAAAGTAAGAAATAAATGAGAAGGAAAATTAAATTTAAAATATGCAGTATATCTAGGATGTGGACCTGGATGTAAATGAGGATCTACACATACGTGCGCCTGCGTGGCTATCGTAACGCAGTGGGATTCAGACACATCTTCACACGTGTTAATGGGGAGACCCAGGGACTTGTTTGCATGTAACTGGCACAACTCCATGTCACAAAACCAGAAGGAGCAGAGTAGGGTCTGGCTTCACAGTGGGATCACTTCCATTTAAAGTATATTTAGAAGCAGTGACCTAGTAAAGCAACTTCTGAACTTTGGAGAGAACTCTTTTACCTTCTTTTCAAAAGAGCATCACAGCTTTATTCTTACTTACAACTAAAAATCTAAGTAGAAATCCTGTTTTGAGGAAGTTCTTAGTTAGAAATGACTGAAAGGAAAAAATACTTTCATTTTCAAAGTTAGTTAAGGAACAACTTTTCAGTTCTGCAGCACATCAGACTGGCTCTTAAATTCTGATTTTAACAAATTAACATCAACTTGAAATAGCAAATTCTAGTGGTATTTGGGGCGGAGAGATAGGGAGCTCGCACCCAAAAGCCAGGCCGGTGGGCAGATGGCCAGCGGCAAGTTGAATTCGCCTCTGGCTCATTTACTACACTTTAAGCTGCATCTTTATGGAATGAAGTCAAAGCTTAACAAAGACCCCGTAAAATGAAATGATGCAGACCAACCTTTTATTGCACCCACAATATTTTGGTCTAGTCCTTTCCGGTTGTCATTGAGTCCTCTTTTCCTCTTCCCATTGGGTAAGGAGTTAGCCAAAGTCTTGTCATCAAAAAATGCACACACCAGTTTTCTAAACAGAAGGCTTCCTGAGCGAGTGTAGTTTGACAGTATAGAGTCCAGCTGAGATTTAGGCATAAACACATCGAAGCCTTCAGCAAGTTGCACTTCTGGCTACCAAAAGAACATAAATATGTCATTAAAAGCAAGATTTGAAGCAACCAACTTTGGGCATACGTGCAACAGAAAAACATCACTAGCTCTTGCAATGGCCATATACTCTGCAAAGCACACAGCCTCAGCTTTGTGTGCCAGTGTTTGCGATTTACAAAACCAATTACTAGTTACAATTCACCAAATGAGATGCTCTAATTCCAAGATTAAGTCTTGTCAAAAGCAGTGGAAAGGAGTACGCTGAAAAAGCATTCTCGTCCTTAGAAAAAAGTTAAGAGAAAACTGGATAATTACCAAAGCATTTAATTCTAGAGCTACCCAGGGGACTTGAGACTTTTGGGTGAAACGTCTTCATTTTGTAAAGGAGGGTACATAGGCCCAAAGAGATCATAACAAAAATGACTTAAAAGTAATTTAGACGTACTCAGTGCATTACTATTTACAGATCACTTTCTCCTGCGTTAAATAATTTGACCTCATTGGCCTAAGGACATGAACACGAGGCTACCCTCTAGGTCCCATGCTCTTGGCACGAGGCCAGTGGTTTTAAGCTGTGGAGCTGTACTTTTTTTTTCCTCCAGTGAAAACTTAGGTCAACTAATACATAAACAAAAATGCTGAGCAGGTGCCCTGATCCCTGCTTTTGGGAGGAATATCTGAAGCTCTATCCCAGAGCACCAATGGAAAACCAGTGTGCCAGTCACAGCGGTTCCCTGCTGGGGATTTCCTGGCTGGGATACTGGGTCAGAAGGCCGATAAGGGCCCTTTCAACTTGGACTCTACCACATAAGCTCAGACACTGATAATACATTCTCTGTGTACATGCCATGGACGTTTACAACCCACCTTCCCATCTCTCAACCCAGCTCACACCATTTCCTTTTCAAAGCCTTTCCTAACTGTTTCTTTCCCGAGGAGGCAGCTATGCATGCTTTGTCACTGCTATTTATTTGACATACTTATATGACTGTGTTTACTATACCGTATTATAATTATTGATTAGATCACGGCCCTTCCTCTTGCCTGGAACTCAGTCTTTGTTATCTCTAGGGCCTGGCACATTGTAGGCACTCAATAAATTCTTGTTAAATAGATAAAAGTTCGTCAGTCATTATCTAAACTACTAAGTCATTTACTGTTGATTATCACACGACGACTTTAAAATAATAACTTTAAGGTGAAGAGGTGCAGTTGGTAAACTTTCTTTAGAAAAAAAGTCAGAAGGAAACTTCACTTACGATGTACCATAAAAGCTTTTTCTTAGATACCATATTTAAAACTTTGCAAAGCTGATACTACTTTAGATTTTCTAAGTCATATTAGAAATGTGAGGATTTGGGACAAGTTTTTCTCCTGGAGAGTAGGAATTATTTTTGTTTGTCCTGCGGTCAGAGTAAAGGGCTCAGAGAAGGGCTTAAATGAATCAGATGACGTGGGGACGACTTGGGGCCCTGTTGCTCCCCAAGGGAATTCTCAACTGGATTTTCCAGAAAGTCATCTCACTTCTCCGCTCTACTTTGCCATTTGGCTTTTGGTCTCTGAATGCTTGGTAAATATCACCATGAACACAGTGCTGCCAGATGGTTTCCTGACTTTCGCACCTCAGTGCTGGTGAAGGTCTGCAGAGGCTGACCTTCTGTGCCCCCAACTCCTGGGACAGAAGCGGTACACTCGGCACTCAATGCACGTTGGCTGAATGATTCGATGTAGCAATGTTAGGATTGAGAGAATTCTACCATCAAAATCGAAGATGAAGTTTCATTTATAATCAGAATTTGATTCTGCACATCCTATGGCTGACTTTAGTCCTTTTATGCCATATGAACTGACCACAGATTTTTGCTAAGCACTCCTGTATCATTTGGATGCCATTAACAACAACAACAAAAAAGGACCGCAGTCTACTTTATAGAAACAGCAACTCACAGCTATTTGAGGACCCGGGCTGGGGGGTACAGTAGCCCTTAAATTTGCAAGAGAGAAAAGGGAAAGATACCATACCGTCCTCTCTCGTTCAGGTATCTCTGCTGGATTCTGGTACCCCCAAGCAGGTGTTTAAAATTCAGCCATCTTGTAGGACTTGGACCCGGTTGGAGAGACTCTGACCTAAACTAGCCACCAGGCAGACAGAACTAGCCACTTCTTTCTTCACATATGCAGAGTATTTTCTACGAACTATGTTTCTGGCACTTTTCACACTGCATTTATTTAGTCGGGAGCTTGTGTTTCTCATCAGAACGTGTACTGTCTTTTGCGTTCAGAGTGCCAAACACCCAACTAGCGCCTGATAGATTTTTCTCAGAATCAACAAAACACTATGTAGGAATTCATTCAAAATGACTAGTATTGATTTCGAGGTCTTTTAGCCCCACATAAAGGAAGCATGTGTGGAGTCTGCCCTGCCCGGGTCCGGCACGCCAGTCTTCTCCCCGCAGGGCCCACGCTAGCTCAGGGAGCAGGCTGCCTAGAGAACACTGCCCTGGCTCAATCAATCGATATTTACTCAGCATCCTCCGTGTGGAAGGAGTTTAAGGTCGGGCTAACTAGACGAGACACGTTCACAAACCCCCAGCATACAAAGTGGAGAACGATAAGTGTGCTACAAGAGGGGTACAGACCATTAGGCAGCATTTGGCTGGTGAGAGGGGAAGGGGTTTTGGTTAGGGGGCCAGGATAGCATTTTATCAGGGCCCTGGAGGTAGGATTTAGGTGAGAGATGCAGTTGCTGTTTCTGGCATCTGCTGCAACCCCTAAAACTAAGTCTCTGGAGGTCTCTGTGGAGCCGAGAGACTGCCTATGGGGTCAGAGTAGCATTTTGATTTCTGAGATGCTCTCCCGATGCAGAAGCTGTCGATGCTTCATGTTCTACTTTCTACTGCCAGACGGTTGTTGTTATTTTGGAGCGCTCCTTCCAGATCAAGGAACGTGAACTGGCCCAGCTATGCGTCCCTTACAAAGGAGTCAGTTTTATTAGGTGGAGACCAGCAGCAGAGGCCAAGGTGACTGGTCTCTGCCCCTCCCTGCTCCTCGCACGCTTTCTTTCATGCAAGTTTCTTAGCTGGTTGTCGACGAGCACTAAGGGGCCACAACGCAAGGAACCAATTCCTTTAAAAAAAAAAAAAAAAAAAAAAAGAGGGGAGCTTTACGTCCTGAGACATGAAGAAAAGATACAAGGTTGATTCATCTCAAATTTTTACTCTGAAACCTTTTTATTTCTCCCACTTTAGAAATATAATGGCAGGTGGATTACAGCCGTGTAATGATCCACAACTTTGCACTTATATTTAAAAACAGGTTAAAACCCTTTAATTGTATGCTTGAATCTCTTCTTTTTATTTACTGTCTAGTCGAAGCGAGATCTCTCTGCTTACTGACGATGGCTATGATAGAAACCACCACGATTCCAAATGAGTATCATTTTAAAAGCTAAACTTCCTTTGACAGAATTACTATTCGATACTCGAGTGAGGACAGACAGCTAATACACTAATTTACAGATTCTGTTGATTACTGAAGTAATATGATCTTTAAATGATGACATGCAAAGTATGGGGCAGGATTTATGACACTTGGAGTCACCATTTCAAGAGTTAAGGGTCTGAATTCCCACTATAAATTTGGATTTCCATGTATGTCTCGCCGAGTTTCAGTACCTCAGCCACTTAGCACAGTTATGCATCAAATGTTGAATTTTCCTATCCAGTGGTGTTAACATCTTACACCCAGTGAAGTTTGGGAGGCAAAAACTGCATGTAGTCATGAGGACTCTTGAAAATGTCCTTGGACCCAGGCCTGTGGACACACTAACCATCTTGCTTCTCTCTGCATTTCAACTGTGGTCTCCCTTTGCTTAGAAATAGTTTGGGTCAAGATCTAGTTTGGCTCGGGGGGGGATCCCATAGCACCTGGTAGACTAAGAGATTTTCCCCTAAGTCTCTCTGAACATATAATGTGACTCCTCTATATAATCTAAAGAAAAAATGTAAAACTATTTTAAGGAAAAATCATAACAAATTAATCACACAGGGAATATTTCTGATACTGGCTATTTTATGTAAGGTATCGTCAGTAGCAAATTACAGTAAGACATGTAAAAAGCTACATGTGGTCATTGGTTAAAAGAGTAAAAGGAAGTGCGTGAATGTTCATATTGGTCATTAGCCCCAGATTTTTCATTGCAAACTGGTGAATTATACACAATAGTTCTTACACTTGACTTGCTACCTAGTCAAGCTTCAGACTGGCTCAAGACTGAAACCTACAAGAAAACTATGGATGAAAAGGCAGGATTTGGACTGAAAACATATGACAAAATTTTTAAGAATGTTTAAAAGCTATAAATTCAACCTTTCTGTTCATAATATTATCATATACAATGATCCTTTTCTCTCACTTAGTATTTATTTAGCAAGTGTACTAGATGTACTACAAAAATGAGCTTTAGTTTATGAAATAAAGAAAAACACACAAAACCCCTTCATAATTGATTGTATTTTGCTCGCAAACGCAATCTGCTTCTGTTTGAGAAAAACTGAAATTGTTCCCTATAACTCAGGTCTGCTCCGGGTAGATTTAGCAAGTATTACCATTACTGTTTATTAAATGCCACTCCAAGATCATGGCCAATAAGCTGGGCGGCCCCAAGAACCCACTGGATTGGAAGGCGGGCCTGCTCTCGTTGGTCCAGCTGGCACAGCTCAAAACAGCGTGGCCTGGGGACGTGGCAGAACCGAGAACCACTGCATCAAGGGGGCAGAGGCCCCATGGTGGGTGGACCCATTGTGTAAAAAGGCAAGTAAAAAATGCTCAGGCAAGAGTTCTATCCAAAAGTAGGCGTAATCTCTAGACTAGCACATACTGGACGTTGAATAGGATGATAATTACAGGAAGTCATTAAAGAGTCAATTCTGGATTATTAAGTCAACTATGGATTTTTATTCGACAAAATTTTGGTAGAACTAAGAATTTCACAGGGGGGAATTCCCTCGCGGTCCATGGTT